ATTAATTTTAAGTTTTCTCCATGATTCATCATTCTGATAAGGACTTCCTCATTATCCAGTATACTTCCTTTACTGCTGACTGCTAACTGTAGCTTCTGACATAACAGTAAGGCAGAGGAGAAAGAATTCCTAGTACCCTTGGCTTGGACTTTCTGTTCCTTCACATATCTGCCTTTTCCAAAAGAGGAAGATCCAAAAATCATCTTCTAGAAGCTGCAGCTACACAAAAAATGTCACATTCTTAAAAATGTTTAACTTTCCTCTTTCCCATCATGCATTGTCCCATTTTAACTAATATCTCCTTTCTCACAACTTTGCTATCCTCTCGCCTTGACATGCAGCATGCTTTATAAACAGTCCCAAACGACTGATATTGGAATATGTGTACATCTTTCAGACAGGGAAGATGCAAACATTCTATTTCATCTGACATTAGGATATGGAGGAACAAGTGTTAATGCCAGCAGAGGTGGGCAATGCAGTCTTTTGTACAATGTTTGTAAAAGTTTTTGCAGTGGCCACTTGCATCCAGAAGCACACCTTCCCTCTAACCTCATGACTGGACTGTCTTGCTTTCATATCAACAGTGTGACTCCATTCCTTCCATAACCTAACATGTATTGATGACAGACACAAAAATTAGGGCTTCAACCGTTGATTGGTAGATTAATCAATTTAATTAATTGTCAGGGACTAATTTTTTAAAAAGAGGATAAATTGTAACAGATGGAAGTGCATACTTATTTTTCAAGCCCATTTTTGGTGTATTACTGAAATACAGAATGTAAGAAGTTAGTAATAAAGATTGCCTTTTCTTATGACAGTGATATATAGTTATTATTTATTAAACTGTAATCTATTTACAGTACCTTCAATATTACCAAAGGGCTATTATAGTCCTTCCATAGTCTCACATTATTTGATGACTGCCATAAAAGCTCAGCCTTCAACCTTTAATTGGTAGATTAATCAACAACTGATAATTCATCAGTTGAGTAAATCTAACTGGCGCATTACTGTAATCAATTGGCAGCCCTTACAAAGCCTGTTCTTAGAGTAGCAATAAAGAATATGCTTTTTCCTCACAGCTGTAAAGGATACTAGACACTGCTCCGTCGAACAGCTTTTAGTAAAGACTGTTTTCCAGATGTTACATTTTTTTCTACAGTTCCCTTTTCAGTCAGATCAGTTTGCCCAGTCAGTTCATTTGTCTGAGTCAGCCAGTCAGCTTCCTGTTTTTAATTCTAGATAAATACAGTTAGAAGAGACACAAAAGAGAACAGGAGAACCTCCTTAAATCGGTTAAGTACTTTAAACCAGGGCTTTTTTTTGGGGGGGGGGGAGAAGTGCCAGAACTCAAGAGGGAAATGAAGTTTTCAATCTGCATACTGAAAACTCATGAACTTTTAAACATTCCGGCGTGTTTCCCCAGGAAAATAGCCCTGCTTTAAACTATTTTAACCTAATATTTGAAGATAAGGGAATACGACTACAGTAGAATTTAGTGTAAGTAGTAATTAGGCTTTTATAATAGTGGGCTATAGTGGGCTATATCAGCCATTATGAGCTTCCCCAATTAACCGTCACTGTCAAATTAGCTTTAGTAATCTCTGATTTTCAGTATGCACTGCATGCATCATGACACAACTAATGACATTTAATGGGGCAATCTAGGGGCCTGAACTGTTGCTTTAATGCTTCCCCGGAGTATTCCTCACCAGGACACATCATGTTGGCCCTTATTTAGGGAACTGTCTAACTTGTTTTTACATTTCTTGATTGCACAGAAAAATGATCCAGGGATTATTCAGCAACCACAGATCAGACTCTTGTTATACATGATTTTTCCACAGGAACCAATTGTCCTTTTTTATGTAGCAGCTAGATGTGCACAAAGCTAATTGCATTTTGAAGGACTTTTACTGGAACAGATACTTTAAATAACGAAATGCTTCAACATTACTTATTATAGTTGAATTCAGACCACAGTGTTTGATCCAAATGGAGCTGATCCTGAAGAAGTCCTTTGGTAACAAGAAAACTTGATAAAGGAGCACTGTTGGTTCCAATCTGATGTTAATTCTCCAAATATACCAAAAGTTTTATTATCAGAAACTAACCCTTCTGTTAAGAGGTCATAAAGCAGCATGCACCAATGTAATACTTTTTGGACTCTTCAGACTTACCACCTAGCCACAGACGGAGAACAACTTAAGGGCATTTAGAAAAATTCACTGTATTTTCCCCCTTGTTCACCCCTTCTCCCATGACTGAAAGGAGGCAAGAAAGATGCCATCCTATTTTGGCTAAGATTTACCTTTAACACTACTAGATTTTAGTATGAACTGGCTATCTGAAATGCAAAATGGAATCTACTCAGGACCTCAGATAGCACTTTAAGCAGTTCTAATGAAGACCAAATCACTCTAGGCTGATGGAGGAGTCCTCTGAATAGAGACAGAATGTCTTATAACTAGTACTTCATCCATCCGTGAATATTTTTGACATGAAAACAGTATTTTGAGAAGGCACAAAACGGCCTTCTCTGCAACCCCCACCTGAAAGATACTTTATTCCATGCATATTTACGGAGGCTGCAGATACCATATTTCCACTATCCACTCCTTTAGCACCATTTCTTTCTCCCTCAGTGGGTAATTTCCCAGACAACCAGGGATCATAAGAGTGTAACAGTTTCACAATAGAATCTAGCAAATCTGATTTGGCTTGGAGTAGATTCCCGAATACATTTGAGGAAGTTTAGCAGAATACAGAATGAAAGTCCAGTGCAGCTGAACCGACTCCAAAACAGAAACCTATGATTCCTCATAGCCCTAATTAAAACACTTCAGAATAGTTACATATGCTTTAATGAAATCAATATATCTAATTCTAAACATGGCCCCATCTGTGGGTACTTAAATCAAGAGACTGGGGCCATGAACAGATTAGACAGATCCCACTAACCTGGGGAAATCTAAAAAAAAAACCCACAACCCAAACACATTGGGAGTTTAAAAAAGCCAAAATAACAGAAACCGTGTCGGTAGCATTAAGAAATGAATCCCCTTAGCCCTGACCTGGATAGCCCAAGCAAGCCTGATCTCGTCAGATCTCGGAAGCTAAATAGGGTCAGCTCTGGCAAGTACCTGGATGGGAGACCGCCTTGGAATACCAGAGGCAGGGGGCAGACTTTATTTAGCCACCTCTTTGAATATCCTCCTGGTCCCCAGTAGGGGTAAGTCACCAGAGGTTGCCATGACTTCCAGGTGCACACACACCCACACACATGCACATATAAAAATACGAAAAGATTTTTTAAAAAGAATCCCCTCAGTGGCCTTTCCTAGGCCTTGTTTTCTGTCAGTGAAAGGTAGGGGAGGCAACAGGGTCCCTTCCAGGGCTGTTTTGCCTTTGAAGGAGGACTTATCAGGGCAAGCAACCACTGAGCTACTTGCTACCACCAAACTGCCTGACATCCAGGCCCAGCTGCTTGCTACTGTTCAGCATCAGCCACCACATGAAAGCCAATGGTATAGTGGTTACAGCTTCAGACTAGGATCTGGGAGACTGAGGTTTAACTTCCCAGTCTGCCAAGGTGCTCACCAGGTGACTCTGGGCCAGTCACATGCACTTTCAGTGTGACTTATCTCAGAGGGTTGTTGTGAGGATAAAACAGATGAGAAGAGAATGATGTGAGCTGCCTTGGGTTCCCATTGTGGAGAAAGGGAAGGTATAAAAGAAGCAAATAAATAATAAATATAGCTAAAGATGGAGAGGCAGTTAAAAGGTTGGCTGGTGGGTGGGAAGGATAAATGGAAGCAGGCAAATGAGAAGATATGGGAGCTGCCAGGAGAAGGAAAAGAGGAACAAGTAGGTGGAGGAGGGTACGGGGGAAGTGAGGTGCCTGTAATGTATTCTAATTGACTTGAATGCATGTACTGAATGTAACATGAATCATTCCATTGCCATCTCATGTTAAGCTTCGTCCTGGGCTAGGATCCTAATGTAACCAATGGGAACACTAGCCCAGGAAGCAATATCCAATCACCATGAAGAAGCTCCCTGAGCGGGAACGCTTGTGATTGGTCTTTAATGGTTCAACCTTATTGGTTGTGAAATGTACAGTAGGCGTGGCTATATTAGCCGGGAATGTTTAAATACAGAACAGCAGCTATGTTAAAGTGGACTAGATGGGTTCTGGCTGACTGATGTTGTACCATGTTGGAAGTGAGTTCGAGTTGAAGAATAAAAGCTGCATTCTTGCTGAATCACTCTCCGACTCTTTGTTAAGCTTGCGACTTAACAGTGCCCTCCCACAAGTCTTTGTGGGTTCCCCACTGTGCAACTGGGCCCACTGTGCAACTGGGCCCAGCCTGGCAGCCAACACTGCACAACTGGGCCCCTCCCAGCCCAGCCCAGCGGCTGGAACCACATAAATTTTCCCAGGAAGAGGCTGCAAGGGGGCGGGAAGGGGAGTACATAAAAGATAAATCGTCTGGTAAGTGGGAAGGAGAGAAGAAAACAGGAAAAGGAAAGAGGCTATAGACACTTTCAGGAAAGGTAAACATTAAAGAGGCAGGAGGAGAAATTAGATGCTCTCCTGCAAGTCCTTCTAAATCCCCAGCTTGTAGGCGCTCGATGACGTCATCCCCAGGCGCGGCGGAGCCTGAGGGACACAGCTGGGGCCGGGAAAAGCAGAGTCGCGCGCCCTGGAAGCTGCCTGCCTACAGAGCCGAAGGAGAAGCCCCGCCGGAGAAAGAAGACACGAGCAGCCTGAGCCGAAGCCGGAAGAGCAGCCACCACCTGGGTGCTGGTAGGATGCCCACCACCCCCTGTGTATAATGTGGCCGTAGTTAGGGAGATAACATGTGACTAGCACCTTCAATGTAAACCACCCAGAGACCCCTACGGGGGTTAGGGCGGTATAAGAAATCGAAATAATAAATAAATAAATTAATTAATATATATTCTGAGAAAAATCAGAAACAAACACTTACTGCTCGTGGTGAGGTTGTTCTCCCCAGGCTGTGGAAGAAGATCTGCATCCTGAATGACTTGTAATACTCCAACAGTCCGGACTGGAGGATCTAGCACTACAGAGCTTTCATTCACAGTTATATCACTAGCTCCAGTAATTTGATTGGTTGGTGGCCCTCCTATAGATGCTTCAAAATCTGGAGGTATTTCATCTATGCAATCTGCATTTGGCTAATGGGAACAGAAAAATACATTAATGAGAATGGGAAGAAAGATTCTGAAAGGAAATGTGGGAAGAGGGCAAAGTGAGTTGAAGGGCATGCCCCCTGACTGGCCAAAAGATAAAAAGGAGACAAGTTTCAGGGTCCTGGGAAAGCTTCAGTGTAAAATGGAAGGAGGTGTAGTCTGGGTGGGGAAACAGTTATTAAAGGCAGTGATAGTTACTTTGCTGAGCTTGATTTTCCACTGGAACTTTAAACTAGTGCAAACTGGATCGGAACAAAATAAGACATTCTTAATAGAAAATACTAATGTGAACATAGGAATGTTAATACATCAAGATATTTTGCGTCTGGGTACATCTTGAGAGAGCCTGATTAATAGTGTGATAGCAGGCTGGTCTAGGCTTCTGTCTCTAGAATGCTCTTATTCCTCAGTAAGTGGAAGGCTTTGATTTTTTGAGATCAGGCCTAGTCCTGTTCACTTTGCTGTTTGTTGTGGAAATGGCCAGAAATCCTTTTTTGTGTACCCATGTGAGTTTAGCAGAGGGGCTTGATACCTTCTATAATGCTTTTCACTGTGACCTGAATGGCCCAGGCTAGCCTGATCTCCTCAGTTCTCAAAAGTTAAGCATGGTCGGCCCTGGTTGTCATGCAGAAGGCAGCAATGGCAAACCAGCCTCTGAAGGTCTCCTGCCTTGAAAAGCCTACAGCTGGCTGTGACTTGATGACTTTTTACACACACATAACACCTTCCATCAAGTTTTGTTAGTGCCTCAGCTGTGTCCCTTCTTGGAGAGAGAGAACATGGCCACAGTCAATTGTCCATGCTTTAATGACATCCAGGTCAGAGAAACAGTGGGGCTACCTTTGACAACCATTTGGAAATTTTAGGTGATGCACAATGCAAGGGCCAGATTGTTAACTGGCACTCGCTACTGTGAAATATGACCTTCCTACTCCGTATTAAAAGATCAATGGCTTCCACTTTATTTCCAGGCTCAATTCAGTGATTTTAACCTCTAAAAGCCTGAACAACCTGTGGCCTGGACAGCCCAATGATTATCTTCTTGCACATGAACCTGCCTTGTCAGTTTAGATAATCATCTAATGCCATAAGAAGAGCCCTGCTGGATCAGACCAATGGTCCAACTAGTCCATCATCTTGTCTCTGGATGGCCAACAACAGGGCATAGAGGCTGAGGCCTTCCTCTGATGCTGGCTTCTGGCTCTGGGATTCAGAGGCTTAGTGTCTCTGAATGTGGAGGTTCCCCTCAGTCACCATGGCTAGTAGCCATTGATAGACATATCCTTTGTGACTCTATCTAAACCCTTTTTAAAGCTGTTTATTCCTGTGGCCATCACTACACCCTCTGGCAGCGAATTCCACATTTTCATCACTCTCTGTGTAAAGTAGTATTTCCTTTTGGTCCACAACTGATACAGGAGCAGTGCTTTCAATTAAATAATAGTTAATGTGGACTTCTTGTCTTAGACTTGATGGGTCTTGCATTCTAATATCTATATTAGCAGCCATGATTGTTTGCAATTACACCAGCAATAACATCACGGGTTTTATTCATGAGTGCAATACAGCCCTTACATTAAAATAGAATCATATGGTTCATGTAGAAAATGCCATTTCTTTAATAGTATTTGGGGGGAAATATCCCTAATGCGGATACTTGCTTTGAAATTTCAAATACTTTGAAAATGGCAGTCATGAAAAGACTGTTCTACGGCATGACATGCTTACCGGAATCCCTAGTGCTTTCAAGATATTCATTTTACACATAGGGCAGGTACGATGGTCTAGCAGCCATGGATCTACACAAGATTTGTGAAAGAGATGCCTGCAAGGGAAAGAACATTTATTTCAAATCTCTCCCTATATTAGACATTTTCTCAATTTCTGAAGCTGCACTTGTGATGGTTAGCTTAAAAAAACATTCAGATGTGTCTTGCTGTACAAGGACTAAAAATATAAAGGAATATCTGTGTAAGAAAGATTTTTGTCAAGAGAAAAACCTAATAAAAGAAACCTTTTGTTGAAAAATAGAGGAGCTTAGATTTCAGTACATTTGATCTGACAATGCCCAACTTGTGGTTTCAAATGTTAAGCTAGAGGATCAACACTTTATATAAAAATACTGAGAAAGTCAGACTGTTACTACAACAAATGCATGCTCACAGTATACAAATAAATAAATGAGCATAACACTCAAAACTTTGTACCATTCATTTTCAGGAAGATATGGAACCTTACATTCCAACCACCTCTTACATGTGAAACTGAACATAACCCTCTTAAAATAATGTAGCCATTGTCTACAACTCATCAGTCTCTCTCATTTGCAATTCCTTTACCCAAGTACCTAAACATGCACACTAGGGTTAACCTATGAAGCTGTATGCACAGCATGTAAACATACAGGTCTGTTGTGTACCAGCACTATATGTAATACCTCTGCTAAATACAGGAAATACTATCATTTTAATTTCCCCTCTATATTCCTGTATCTAAGGAGAAAAAAGTCCCCTAACAACAAATCAGACTCCTAATTTTCTGGAAGTAGTGGAAATAAATTACATTTTTGTGTCCTGATACAAAAACAAATATGAAAGATCAGATTTGTTTCTCATGCAAATTCAACTGAGTTTTACATTTTTTCCAGCCAAATCATTATCAATAGTAAAGACTGCAAGGAAATTTATACTAATTTATACTATTTCACTTCATATTGAGAATAACTTGCTGGATGGGGGAAAGCTAAGAGGAAATATGTTCATGTTCCTAAAGGTCATGAGAGCCCACGGGCTGCTGTAAGTTGATATGATTAATGAAAATGAAGCAACACAATACTAAGAAGTCTGAACCACTATTTTGATAAGATTATTACAGGTTGCAACTCCAGCTCAACAATACTGCAGTGTAAGCAACAACCATGCATCACGTTTCAAGCAATTCATTTCTATCAGAAGAAGCACTTGAAGTCAGTAGTTCAAGTTTTCATTAGATGCTAGCATGAAACTAGCATTATATATTTGCAAAACCTTAGCTGAAATCCAGTAAATATTTTACATTTCACTCATATTGTGAACCCATGAGTAGCAATGCAGCCACAGACAAAGGTTTGACATTTATATATAGATATATGAACTGAGGCAGGTATTTGAAAATCTAGTGATCTGTGGCTTTAATCTGACTGAAGATCCAAACATAAATTTTATGCTTGGGGCTTGGGGGGAAGATTTTTTTGCATTTGTGAGGGTGCAGAGTCAACGCCAAAAAGAAACACGCAAAAACTTTCAATCGGGAACTAAAAGAATTTCGAGAGGAATGCTCAAAATGGCTTATTGAATCTGAATCACTGAATGGATCAAGTCCCACACAAAGAAGGCGAGAAGAACCACTGGCTGCAACAAAAGGGTCCACTTTGCAAAGGACTGCAGAAAGCCACCAGCTAACAGTAGTTTTTCTAAGATGCACAGAAACAGCACACAAGCTATAAACAAAAAGAGAGGCAATTTTAAAAATTGAAAGCATGATGGTCCAAATGCAGCATACAAAGTAAAACGTTTTTTACTAATTGAACAGAAAAGCCTTATTTATGATGATGCTGAATCAGAATCAAAGAGAATAAGTGGCTAATAGGCAGTGGAGCATCTAGTCACAGCACACATTGCAAAGATTTCTTTGATGAACTTAATGGAACTGAGAGAAATAAAAATTGCTAATGGTGAATGCATACAGATTTGGCATAGATCCTGACACTTTGCGGGCTGTGGTGGCTCTAGTGGTTAAGACACTGAACTGCAGACCGGAAGGTCAGTAGTTCAGCAGTTTGAGACCTGAGTGCCAACCTAGCAGTCAGAAAGCAAGAAATTGCAAGTAGATAAATAGGTACTGCTTTGGTGGGAAGGTAACAGTGTTCCATGAGCCTCAGCGTCTAGTCATGCCAGCCACATGACCACGGAAACGTCTGTGGACATCGCTGGCTCTTCGGCTTGGAAATGGAGATGAGCACCACAACCCTAGAGTCGGATTTGACTGGCTTTCGAGCAAGGGAACCTAATCTTTCTGGATGATTTATCAAGGTACTCAGTTGCATATCTGCTGAGGCAAAAGACTGAAGTTCAGAAATTCCTCAAGAGATATGTCGCTATGGTTTCGAAAAAAATCTGGAAGAAAGCCTCAAATGCTACAGACAGATAATTGTGGTGAGTATGTATCACATCACATACAAACCTTCTTGGCAAAGGAAGGTATCCTGCACAGAAAGTCAGTGAGCTTTACACCTGAGCAGACGGGCACTGCTGAAAGGAAACTTGAGATCTTTACTGGAGATGAGCAAATGCATGCTCATGGATGCAGGCCTACCCAATGGTGAGTGAAGCAATCTTGACTGCAAACTATCTCCAGAACAGACTGCCCACAAAAGAGAGCACATATACCTTACCAAATATGGCATGTCAAGGTGCCAGACATGGGACACATTACGGTATTTGGCAGCACGTTTGAACGCAAGGAGACAAGACAAAAATTAGATCCCAGAACCAGAGAAAGTGTTTTTGTGGGATATGATTCTGGAAGTAAAGGGTACAGAATGCTGTACCCAGAAACAGGTGAAGTCTATATCAGGCATGTGATTCACTTTGACGCAAGCAGAGCCAGTATAGAAGAAACTGCATCATGTGGCTCAGAAAAGGCAGATGATCAGAAGAAGAAGAAGAGGAGGAAGAGGAGGAGGAGGAGAAGAATGGATTTATACCCCGCCCTTCACTACCCAAAGGTGTCTCAGAGCGGTTTATAAACTCCTTTCCCTTCCTCTCCCCACAACAGACACCCTGTGAGGTAGGTGAGGCTGAGAGCTCCTGACAGAAACTGCTCTTTTTCAAGAACAGCTGTGCCAGAACTATGGCTTGCCCAAGGTCATCCAGCAGCTGCAAGTGGAGGAGTGGGGAATGAACTCCCAGATTAGAGTCTGCGTACTTAACCACAACACCAAACTGGCTCTGAGTGCCCAGTGATGAAACATCAGAACAAGTCACACAACCTGAGAAGACAGATTCCAAAGCATTTGTGCCAGAGATCCTGAGCAGTACAACACAGGAAGAGGAAGCATTCAACACAGTGAATGAGAAGACAGGTGGACTGGACAGCTCTGTGACAGCAGAACCACACCTCTAGTGAAGTCCTGGCAACAGATAAGAGAAGGGAAAAAATACAATGGTTACTGTATTTTCAATTAACTTAAAGATTTTAAAAGGATGTCTATACAAATAGAAGCACAATAAGAGAACTGACTGAATTTGAAAAGATAATTACACAACCGAAAGATAATTTATTAGGATGAATATACAAACTTTTACTCCAATACGATACAGAGACAGAACAGGTCAAAATGTGTATGATGAAATGGATGCAGAATTTTGAGAAAGATATCTCTTCAACAATAGGAAACCTTATGGATGAAGAATATAAAATTCACAGCTAGTCAAGCATTAAGGGAAAATTGGTACAAAATGTTCTATCGATGGTATATCACTCCAAAAGGCATTGAGAAGATGGACAAAAATTACAAAGGGGCGTTGAAAATGTCAAGAGGTGGATGGAACTTTCTACCATATGTGGTGGACATGTAAATTGATGAAGAAATATTGGAAAGAAATACATGCAGAAATGCAGAAAATTCTGAAAATCATATTCACTATGAAAGCTGAGACTATGTTATTGGACATTTCCCCTGAAAATATTGAGATTCTTTTTTCCTCTATTTGCATAATTCGCAAGAGCTATTCAGCTATATTATAACGGTTGCCAGAGTTATACTAGCAACAAAATGGAAAGCAGAAGAATGCCCAAACCAAGAGAACTGGAAAGATAAATTAGCTGAATATGCAGCAATGGCAAAGCTAACACACCATGTAAATAGAAGACTGATACAAGAATTTCAAAAGAAATGGAAAGCCTATTATTCATATTTTATGTCATAATCAAGGAGAAAACAAAATAGAAATTAATACTCTGAAATGTATGATTTATTTAACAAAGTTGTACAAGAGTGGAAATGTGGAAAATGGGTATATAGCCAGTACTTAATATACAATATTTTTCTTACAATAACTTATATGATTTTATACTATTTCTTTATTATATTGATAGAGGTTGTATGATCTCTTCCCCCCTAAGATTTCTTAAGATATTTCTAATGTTATTAAAGAATTAGTGAGGCCATACATAGAGAAGTTTTTGATTTGTATTAAAATCAAGCATTCAGTATTTTAATCATCATCAAATTACTACTGTTTGAGGTTTGGTAAACTACTAATTTTAATTTATCACAGTCCTTACTGTCTATGAGGTATATTATATAAACAGAAATCGGAACAGATCTAAAATATATATTGTTTATTATTTTTCCTTATTACTTCTCTGCCCTGTTGAGGCAACTATAATTGCAAATGCCTTGTTATAAATGACAATGAATGAGATGGGAGAAAAATATTTATTCATTTTTGATACAATATTTGTATTATGAATGTTTTAGAGATAAATGTAAATATTCTGTATAATCTTTTTTCTATTTCTCATCTTCCCTTTTGTTTTTTGTATTAATATTCTTTTAAAAAGTACACTGAAATAAGCCATCTTGAGTAACTCTCTTCAGCACTTTATGAAACCGTATTAATAATGGAACTGTTTTATATGGTTTTATGTGGTTTTAACTGTATTTTATGTACTGACTGTGAGCGCCCTGAGCCTGCATTGCAGGGCGGGGTATAAATGTTATTAAAAATGTAAAATAATAATAAAAATGTAAATAAAATGCAGGACCACACCTCTGCTGCT